TTATGCATGTGACAGTATTTATATAGCTCTCCTCATCATAAGATATGGTCACCTGTGTAACAGATCTCAAAATACAAGAACATAGCTTGTGTTTGTTGGTTGCCCTTTAGACCAATGAGGCCTGTAGTACAAGCAAGTTCAGCTATCATCATACAGTGTGTAATTATCCAGGAAGCAAATACTGCAATCACTGTAAAAGTCTCCATGTAACTGCTGTCAAAAGTAAAATATAAAACTATGACTTTGCTTTACCAGAAGCTAGTGTTCTAGTCTGGTTAAAGTATCACTCTGTTCAAAAGCACTAGTTGCAGCTGTTTGTCACTGCTTCCCTCTTGCTAAGTTTTATTTTGTATATTCACATTTGATACAGTTCTTAGAGGCTTGAATATAATAAAAATCCATTTAGAGAAGTGCTAAAGTGACTTGAGAGATTTCTTTTGCCTGCTGTGGGGCAGGACTCTGTCCACTGGCCCCTGACCATAAGAAATTAAAATAAATGCCTGAGGAACATGTGCAGAAGAGCAGAACCTGGAGACTGAGCTCTGAACAGTTAGCCTGTCTCCTGAGTTCGGCCAGAAGATCTGGGGTGCCAGCACCATCCTTCTGCTGTTAAGCGACAACTATGCTGTGTTTTGCAGTAGAGAGAGAAAGAAATCAATAGCAGTTTATATTCTTGTGCCTCCTGTCATGCGCAGTAATGGCTCTACTGTTACTTGCAGTGGCAGCTCATCACAGTGAGCAATGCGGCAGAGCCACAGTGTGGTGGAAATCGAGCTGATCTGTAATGACGTTATGACTATGGTGACGCATTGGCTTTAGCTGGTGACAACACCAGGGCAGGATGCAGTGCAGACTTGTTCTTATTCATCACAGAATCTATTAAAAAAAAAAAATCATAGGAAACCAGGAGCTGATAGTGCTGCTGCTCAGGGGACCATTTTTTTGCAAGGAAGCAACCAAGGCTGAATTTCACTCCACACGCTGGTACTGTTTACCAATTAGCGTTAACCAGGAAGAATTTTTTCAGCGTTACTGTTTTATAAAGGTCCCTCCACTCTGTACTTGTACCTGCTGCTCTGCATCAGGCAAGCCTTTTTACTGAGCAGTTTACGATGATATCTTCCAAGTCAATGGCCCCAGATGATCCCACGAGTCTGGCTCATTAGCATGGGTAACAAGTTTATCTGATGAGTTAAATTTCATCTGCCACAATATCACTCAGTTTCCCAGTTGGTTTCTGTCTCCCAGCAGCTTCTTACAGGGTAATATTTTTTTTTATTCGAATGTCATCTGCAAAAATTTACCAGCTTGATGTGAGTTTCACCCTTCATTCTTTCTCCTTCTCTCTTCACACAGTATATGAAACTCTTGGTCCCTCTACACTTGCCTGGGACAGTCTCATCTCATCAATAATAGGGGCAGACATTTACAATACTGCATGAGCATTAACATTAAGGTCCCCTCTTGGGACATTTATGTATTGCAGGTGTCATTGGATCTGGTGTCATAGACTGGGAAATGCGAAAGCAAGGCAGAGTGATGCTTTCAGTGACCTAAAAGAGCCCAGTTCCTGTAAAAGCCTGTAATCTGCCATGGAAGTGTCCTGCAGCTCTCTGTTGTTGCTCTTCATAGTTCAGCTGCCCAAAGTTCAGGTCATCTAATGCCAAATTCCTCCTAAGTATCCTAACGCATGGTGATGGTGTAAATGGTCACCAAATGCTCAGGTAAAACAAAGGGGTTTACCACTTTCTTCCAGCTAATTTTGCTAAGCTGACTGACTCCATGGAACCATTGTTCCCTCTTTGTTCTTCTCATCTGACGCTAATCCAGCTGACTTTGCTTTCTCACCAAGAGAAAATGTCCTGCAGTTGCTTGTTAGTTTAACAACAGTATGGTGAAGAGGTGGACCACAATGACTGGGGGTGCTTCTGCTCTGAAAGGGACAAAGTGTGGCCAGCTGATGTGCACACCATAGGGATGAATGAACAATTGGACAGATCATCCTCCCAGCCACCGGTCCTACATGAACCTCATTTTCCTTCACTAAATAGCCGTATTGCTTTGAAGAAAACTTCTACCTACTCACCTTGCTGTTGTTCAAAAAGCGGAATCTTTATCCGGTGTGCAATAAGCCAGCCCTCACACACTCAGGAGAGATATTGTTTTATTCAGGCCTGGGTGCTCAGTGAATTTTCCACAAATCAAGCACATCCAATGCCAGCTTCTTCACTACATTTATACATTAAATTAATGCATATTCTATCCATCTAATACATATTCATTCTAATCTACATGCATTGTGCAAATATGTGGCATCATTCTTCTTGGTTCCTTTTCAGAGCCTTCTGAGCATATTTTCCTCCTTTTGGGGGTCTCTGGTGGTCATCAGTCGCCTTCCTGGATGAAGTAACCTAACTCCTTTTCTCCATCTATGGTCACATGTCACCTAAGGACAACTTAAGGCTACTTTCTTCTGACAACTTTCCTTTGTTTCTTCCAGAGGGAGAATTTGTCTTTGATTGAACGGATAGTGTAGATGGCCAAGATACTCTGCTTCTAAGCTTAGGTTAAACGTTAACATCATGCACTATTTGATCAAAGGCACACTACTTAAACACATGCAATACCCCTGCTTTCCAAGGGAAGAACTCGTTCTATTACATTACTTCTTCCTTGCTCCCAAGCAGCATTAAATAGGCATCTGGTTGTTTGTTACTTTTTTTTTATTTTTTAAAAAAAGGCATCTTACCCTCAGATTTTCAGAAGGGATGGTGGAACTGAAGTGCTTTCTAACCTAGCAAAATATAAGATGGAAAACCATATGTGGGGGAAGTCAGGCAGAGAAAGGACTGCGGTGTCACAGCACAAAGGGGAGCAGACCCTTCCTGGACCTGCAGCCAGCTGTCTGGGAGGGAAAGGGTTTATGAGGTGTCCGCAGAGAAGGAGCTGGCTGGGCTGAGAAGTAGGAAGGGAAATGATGGAGTGGGTAATTAGGAAGAAAAAAGGAGAGAAAAAAGATCCTTGTGAAGATTTAGATGCATCAGGTACACACTGAGATACACGGAACTAGCTGAAGCATTTGAAATGTAGCCTTCATTAATATTTTGTCTGTCTTATCTCAAACTAATTTATTTTATGGATGTAGCGGGCTGTTTCT